TTCTTTTACTATTACAAGCACGGCTGTCATAGATAATTCTGTATACGTATCATTTCCCATGTGTGAGTATATCTTTGGAAGATATTTCTGGAAGTAGAGTTGCTAGGCCACAACGCACATATATTTGTGATTTGGCTGGATTTGGCAATGTTGCCCTCCGTGGAGGTTGTACTAATTTACACTCACCTGCCATGTATGAGCGTGCCTGTATCCACACATCTTTCTCAACACACTGTTATCAAGCTCTTTGTTCCTTACTAATCTTGAAAGTGAGAAATATCTCAAATTGGTTCTAATTTGCATTTCAATTACTATTAAATTTAGCAGAAACGTTAAGAATCTTTTATACTTTTTTTCTATGAACTTTCTGTTCATATCATTTTCCTATTTCTTCCTACTATTTATTTATGTTAAAAGTTTCCAAAAATCAGTATTATAGAAGTAAGCTTTTTGTAAAATGAATTACAAATATTTCCCTCTTTTTTTTTTTTAAACAGAGAACAGGAGTATTTATTTATTTTTAAAATTTTATTTATTTATTTATTTTGGGCTGTGTTGGGTCTTTGTTTTTGTGCGAGAGATTTCTCTAGTTGTGGCAAGTGGGGGGCCACTCACTATCGCGGCCTCTTTTGTTGCAGAGCACAGGCTGCGGACGTGCAGGCTCAGTAATTGTGGCTCACGGGGCCCGCTGCTCCCCCGCATGTGGGATCCTCCCAGACCAGGGCTCGAACCCATGTCCCCTGCATTAGCAGGCAGATTCTCAACCACTGTGCCACCAGGGAAGCCCCTCCCTGTTTCTTTTTTTTTTTTTTTAAGTTGGAAGATATTTAAATTTATTTTTACTTTCCCACATCACTAATCATGGGTATGAGTGGCTTGTATCTCCATCCGGAAAACATAGCACTATCAAGTTACTATTATATCCAGTGGAGAACTCAGTCTTTGGTCACATCCCTGTTTCTTTTATTGTGGTTGGTATCTAGAATATGTTTATTTTATAACTGAGTTCATTATTGTTTTTTCATATGGTTTCCCTGTTTTGTATACTACTTAGACTTTGTCAAAGATAAAATATTCTCCTAGCCATCTTATCACCAGGCATGATCTCCACATTAAAAAAAAAAAAAAACTGAAATAGTTCAACAGGAAAAGTATAGTGATATATTTTTTAAAAACTGATATACCCATCGCCAGGATTACTGTTAATATTTTGCTGTGTCTGCTTTAGATTTTTTGCCTTTGAAACCAAAAGGTACAGATAGTTCCCTTTGAACGTCTCCCCAATACCAGTGCCTCCCCTGCCCCTGAGGTAACTGCCTTCGTGAAGTTGGAGTGTGTGTCCTCCTGGTCATGGTCAAGGGCCTTTATTTTGAGACCGGAGAACCCCCTCTGGCTAGTTGAAGTGGAAGGGATTTATCAGTGGAAGGGCTAAAGAAACAGACTCTTGACTGAGTTTCCTGGAAAGTCTCCCTAAACCACACTTGAGGGCTGGGACGCCCAGGCAGCTGCTGCAGCCCCAGAGGCTCACCGCTTCTGCTGCAGTCAGAGCTGCTGGTGGAGAGAAAGTTCAAAACCCGATGCCTCTACGTGTGCTCTCCGTTGTTGACGCATTTCCAAATCAGAGCCTTGCATCTGACAGGGGAACCTAAATTAGATACAGAAACCTGGTGCAAGGGAGTGTGGAGGGAAATCTCTTGGTTTTCTAGTTTGTGTGTACACCAGGAGCTTAGTGTCGCACAAGCCAATTCACAGTATTTGTAAACTCCCTGAACATTTTAATGCTCCTACTATTAATTTTTCCATGAACAATAGTGTATTGTTTTGGGTATTCAAAAAATGGACGCAAATGCTGTCATAATGCAACTTAGCCTTTTCATTCGATATTATTATTAAGCCTTTCCCAGTTGACATCTGTAGCTCTGCTTCATTCTTTTTAACTGCTGTGTATCGTATGTGTATTAGTTGTTACCCTGTAACAAATTACCGTAAAGTTTACTGGCATAAAACAGCTGTTCACCCTCTCACGGTTTCTGTGGGTAGGAACCCAGGTGTGGCGGAGTTGGGTCCTCTGGCTCAGGGTCTCTCATAAGGTTGTGATCAATGTGTCTGCTGGAGCTGTGGCCTCATCTGAAGACCTCGCTGTGGCAGAATCTGCTTCTAACACACTCCTGTGGTTGCTGGCATATGACTCAGTTCCATGGTGGCTGTGGGCTGGAGGCTGCCCTTGCTTCCTTGCCATGTATTAGGCCTCTCCATGGGGCAGCTCGCAGCACAGCAGCTTGCTTCATCAGAGCAAGCAGCTAAGAACAGGAGTGTGTGCACAAGATGGATATCACCATCTGTAATGGGCTGGATAGTGTCCCCCAAAATTCAGATACCCTGGAACCTCAGAATGTGACCCAGTTCTTGCTGTTATTTTCCCCCACTCAGTATATACCTGCTTAGTTTTGTCTGGATGTTTACCAATGTCTGTTTACCACTGCTTTCTATACCCTACTTCTTCTTTCTGAACTCATGTTAAAGAAGTATATCTTCCAGCAGTTTTTTCCACAGTGTATCACTCCTTTGTCTTTTGGTTGTTGCACATGGGAAGAAGTCTGATGGCAGTCTAACAGCAGTTCCTTTGTAAGCCATCTGTCTTCTCTCACAGCTTTTACTCTTGGAGCTCAATGCTCTGCAGTTTCACTGTGTTGTTTATTCCTCGTACTTGGGATTTGATGTGCCCTGTAAATACACGGACTTGCATCTGTCAAGTCCTGAGGGACTCTCAGGCTTTCTCTGGATAGTGCTTCTCCCCATTTCTTCTCCCCTCTGGATCACCTAGTTTCGACACATTTTGAAGCATTTCATTCTACCCGCCTTATTTTAACTTTGCTTTCACATTTTCCATTTTTAATCTCTGTGCTGCATGCTGAGTCATTTCCTTAAGTCTTCCAATTTACTAATTCTCTCTTTAGTTATGTCTGGTTTTCTGTTAAACCTGTACAGAAGTTTTCCTTTTTAAAAAAAAAAAACAAAACCACATTTATTTATTTGGCTGTGCTGGTCTTAGGTGCGGCATGAGGGATCTTTTAGTTGTGGCATGTGGCTCTTAGTTGCGATATGCATGGGGGATCTAGCTCCCTGATCAGGGATGGAACCTGGGCTCCCTGCATTGGGAGAGTGGAGTCTTAGCCACTGGACTACCAGGGAAGTCCCTCCATTTGTTTTGATGACTGTATCCTTCATACCTAGAATGTCTCTTTGGTTCTTTTTCAAATCTTTTTTTTTTTTTCAAAACTACTTAGGTTTACCTTATGGTTTCTATTGTTTCTTGTACCTCTTCAAACATGTTAAGATACTTATCTTAAAGTCTCCTTCTGATTTTTATGTCTCTGCCTCACGATGGTTGAGTTCCTTGTGGGATCATTTCCTTTTCTTTCCTGGCACCTAGAGGAGCGGAGAGGGCTTTCTTCCCACATCAGTCCACAGTTATCAACTTAGGTCACGTCTCCACACAGGAAAAAGGGGCCTTTGTTTCTTTAGACAAAGAGACCCCTGAGGGGCTGGCCTTGTCAGACCTCCAGAGTGCCCGGACATCTCTGAATGGGCATCAGGCACCCAGGACCCATCCCTGAGAGCCCCTCCAGGGTGCATGATCTCTCTGAATGGGTACCAACTGGTGAATTAATTAAGGTGTTTCTGAGAATTTGTCAACATATTCACCTGGCCCTTTGTGACCCTGAAAAAGTCATTTAACCATTCATCTTTTCTGTAAAATAAAGGTATCTTCTTTATTTACAGGGAGAAAAAGAAAGTATTTTAAGTAGTATGAAACTTCAAAGAAAAGGTGGCACATGTTGTCTTAAAAACAAATAGTTTAATTTCATTTTTATCTGGAACAAAACAAGTTTAAAAGGAAACAGCAAGCGCTTTGACATGTCATCATGTGTCATTTTTTATGGTACTACTTTTGTTCAAAATGTGAAGATACAGAACCTTTATAAATTTCAGGAAGCAAAATGCAGATGAAAACAGATTGGTTATAAAATGTCAATTCACTAAATACTGCATTTTCTCTGTTTTTATGGAGAATATTTCATAGAAACACTGTATAAAATAAGGCAGACTTTTGGTAATTGTTATAAAATTTTAGGAAAAAAGTGTGAAGTCCTAGTTTCTTTCACTTTGGGGAGTCACGTGCAGAGCCCGTCAGACAACTAGAGCAGTTTCTGAGCTCTGGTTGCTGTACAGGAGCCCTTCTCGTTGAGTGCTTCTAGAATCAGACCCACCCACAAAACAGCTTTTCCCAATTAGCATCAATCAGGAAAGTTTAACATACACAAATATTTCTACAGTGCAGTAAAAATGTGTCATTTTATATTTTAAATTTGCATTATGAAAATAAGTCTGTACACAAAGTTAATACATATTTAATGAATATGAATCATGTAAATTTGGTTATGGCATTTAAAGTCGGCCTTGGCTTTGAAGTATTTTTAAATTCATAGAAAATATTGAACTTATAATAAAATAAATAAAACATTTTAATTGATATTAATAATTAACTTCAAAATTTCTTTGCATTTTCTGTTCAATTTTAAGAGAAGTCATTGCACCTTCTATGATGTGAAAAAAGATCCGATTGCCATTAGCTGTTCTTAAGTGCTGAACATAACTGAGAGAAACTGCAACAAGACACTCTGTCAGTGGCAGGAAATCCATCACCGTCCTTTGCGGGGGCAGTCCCGAGCTCGTGTTTTAACGGACGCAAATGCAAACCATGGTTCTCACGTGACTTTCTGAAGCGCCCCCACAGCAGGCCCAGGTACCTTGAGTGGACTAAGTCTCACTTTATGGCAATGGCATCAGATGGTGGCTACAGAAGGTTGCCGACGTCCCTGTGTGCTCTTACAGGCTCTGCAGACCGGGTGACGAAAGAACCAAGGAACTCTGACTGCCCTCAGGAATCCCAAGTGACTGGAGGGACACAGCGTCAGGGCACCAGGCAGTGCTGCCCGCTATTCAGGAGGTGGGCGGAGGCTCCGCAGCTTCATTTCGTCCAGTCCCTTCCAGTATTTAAAATTGTTGTCAAGATGCTGCATTAACTCAGGCAGGTCTACAAAGGCTGGAGAAAAAAGATGGCACTGTGATACCCTTTCACAGCCTCAGTAAATTTAGACTTTGAGTCTTTCTAAGGAGAGAGCATTTCACGGAATAGGGGCAGATAGGAGTAGACAACTGCACAGTGCTCAGCAGACACAGCAAACCCAGCGGCCGGAATGAACTAAAGCCAAGTCCTGTGCTCAGTGCCAGCAGCTCCTCTGTAACCACGTGGTGAGCTGACAACTGGTAGATGAAGCAGAAGGGGGACTCATCTGCATACTCACCATTTGATCAGCACCTTTGGGGCCCAGGGTGCCAGGAGCCAGGCCCTAGGCCCTGACTGGCTCTCCTGGGTGTGTCTCCCTGCTCCTCCCCACCCACCCTTTATACCACCATCTTCCACCTGCAGCACATCCCCTAGGGCATGAGTGGGGAGCAAGTCATTTTACATACGAAGAAAATGGGGCCAGGAGAGGCCATGAATCTGGACTCAAGGAGCTGCGGAGCCTGCAGTCTGGCCCCAAAGCTGCAGCTCTTTCCACCGTCTGAGTCGTCCTTCCCCCACCGCCCAGCACCCTGAGATGGGGGTTCGTCTCTTGCCCATGGATCTGGACAGGGAGTATTAAATGGGGCCCCTTCCCTGAGAGTCCTTTACGTGACAGGCTCCTGCATGCACTTGGAATTAAAGAGGAGGGACATGTACCCGTCAGAGACCAGCCTGCTCTCGGGTCAGCTACCACGTGAGGCGGGAGAAGCTGGGGGAGCAGATGGCAAAAGGGCTCCCACAGAACGATGTGGGGTTTGGAGTCAACATAAGTGTTTCTGAATCCTGGGCTCTCCACCACCGGCTGTGCAGCCCCAAGTTCAATCCTCTCATCTATGAAACCGGCACAGCAACATCTAGCCCCTGGGGCCAGGGGCAGCTGAGGAGGAAGAGCACAGAGAGCACCCCGCCCTCACGGCCCTCGGTGTCAGCTCACTGCTTCTCCTCAGCCCTTCTTCAAAGTCTGAGCCCCCAACCATATATCTACAGTCAAAAACTACACTATGCACTACTTATATGCAGTTCCCCGTTACTGAGGGAAATACGCTCAAAGCGTTCTTACCGTCCCAAGCAGCGAACATGTCTGTGATGAAGTAGTCGATGAAAGAGATTTGGGATTTGGGGATGCTGCAGGTACTTCTGTCAAAAACTGGCATCACCACAGGCAAGTCCTGCCGCTTCTCTTCATCAGTCTGCAAAGCAGGAAATGCCAGAATTACGAGACTCCAGTATCTGGCTCCACTCCCCGTCAGGAGCACCCCCTCTGCCAAAAGCCTCTTCCTGGCAGCCCAGAGTGCTCGTGGGGAGAAGCCGATCACAGCACCAGCCAACAACCCGGATCTGCCACTACATACCACGTTGTCCCCGGTGGGGGCTGCTCTATGCCAGGGGCACCAAGGACACCCCAACCCAACCCACATTTTCAACACCTGGAAACCTCTTGCTGAAGCTCCTGAGGTACGATTGCAAATGGTACCTGCAGTGCATGAGCACACTAGTCAGCTCAGCCATCCTCCCACCCGGCAGGCGTTTCAAGGGCCTGATCCAGGGTGGCAATGGTGAGTGAGAAACAGCCCCCTTCACAGAGAAGGGACAAGTGGCTGCTTCTCATCTTGGGCCAAATTACTTTATTTGAAAAAGTTATGAACACACGAGGTAAAAAAGAGCTCTGGGTTGAGTTTTTTATGTACTTTGATAGACGCTTCCAGAACATCTTCAGGATTGCAGAAAGACTTGTAAAAAACTGAAAATATAATTAAGATCCTGGGGGAAAGGCAAGTATATCTTGAAAGATATAACGGAGTTTCTTGTTCTTTTTATTCATAAGGTTGCTTTCATCAAAGGGTCCTGGAGAAAAGGATGAGGGGATGCCTGGAGGATGACGATGAAGCAGGGGGTCTTCCTGGAACAAGGTGGGAACTCAGAGGGTTTGTGGGTGCGATTAGAATCACCGAGAGGTCCCTGCTGGAGCAGGCAACCAGGGCTGAGAGTTAAGCAGACGGTCACGTGAGGGGCAGGATGAGGGGGACTGAGTGTAGCACAAGTAAGGCCGGGGTGGGCCTGGCTAGAAGGGCTGGAGCCATCCTCTGGCTCTGGAAGGCACAGCTGTCCTCAGGGGCACCTGGATCATTGTTCCTGATGGTCCGGGCAGGCTGCCCTGTTGGGCCAGGCATAGTGAGAAGGTGAGAGAGGGGTGACGATCCTGGGACAAGATAAATTGTTGACCAGTCGTGGCCTCTGGAGAGCCGGTCAGTGAGAGCAAGGGCTGAGGACAGGAGGTATGTGGTGTGCTCGGCCATCTGCCAGAAGCCTGACTCTGGTGGCTGAACTCTGTGGGCCATCTGGGGCTGTGGGAGAGTGGAGGACATTTCTTGAGCGGCCAACACTGGGACAAGAATTCAGGTGTTCAGCGGGACCAAAAGAAAACCTACTCTTGGGGCTGGGAGCCTGTCCCTCCAACTCTTACCCCTGGAACTGTTCGCACAGGGCAAACTGGGCCAGTCCCCCTTGTTGATCTTGACAACTGGCCAGGAGCTGCCTCCCCTGTTCCGTTCCACTTCTATTCTGCTGTCTTGGCCGAGGCCTGGCAATCACCAGCAGGGCCGCAGGGACTGTTTAGAAGTCACCTTGCCCTGCACAAAGGTGGATCCGAGGCCTGAGCCACTGGAAGAACTAGGCCCCACAGCTAACGGCAGGTGACTTTCCCTGGAAGTGACAATGACTCACCACAGCCCTCAACATGGAATCTCCACTTGGGGGCAGCAGGTAACCTTTGGGGGTTTTCCTAGGAGGGACTGTACCTAGCACTGTGCTGCAGAGATGTACTTACGCTAGATGGGTGTTGAGAGTGCTGGGGCCAGGGCTAAGAAAGAGGCCTGTTCTCCCTGTGTTCAGGTGGATGGTGCTACACTATGGGTCAGGGCAGAAGCTAGCAGTAAGAGCCCCTGCCGCTGCAGGCCAGGGAGCCAAGTTGCACATGCTTGACTAGGATTGTACAGGCCAGGGAGCCCTGAGAGGCAGGGCAGAGACTATCTACACCAGTTGTCCAGCCAGGAGCACACTCCAGGAGGTGTGGAAGGTAGGGTGACGGTGCTCTGGAAAGAGACTAAGTAGGGAATATTGACAAGTCTTGGCCTCTGCTGGCTGATGAAGCCTCTGCTGTTAGGCCACAGGCTGGCAGCCCCATTCCCCCAGTGCTGTTGCAGAAAATTGCAGGGTTAGCTCTACGTGAGTCTCTCTGCCTTGGTGTGTATGGGAAGGGGTGGAGGGTGCAGGAATAGCCTCAGGTTCACAGCCCACGGGCCTGTCTGGCTCAGAGAGCAGTACCACAGGGTAGGTGCTCTCCTGGCACTCCCCCCTGGTCGTGCTGGATAATGAACCAGCTCTCTCGGGAAAGCCATAGCAGAGGCTCACTGAGCTCAGCAGTTCATGGCTCCAGAGGCTTTTCTGTCGGTGCTGCACTCCAGGCCTGCCCTCCCCTCCACATGGAAGTAGCTGACTTGTTGAAGGTCAATGAAAATGCTCATGCTTATATTTCTTCTCTTTGGCCCAATGTGACAGGTACATGGAGATTCTCAGGCCCTTATTCTCTTTTGAAGACCACTGTTTGTTTGCCAATGAAGTCCTCCGTGCCCGTGCCCCACTTCTAGGCCACCAATGAGATCTCCATGCCTGGGAGACAGTCAAAGATTCTACAGTAACCAAGTGAATCTCCAATCAAGAAAAAGTCATATTCAAAATGGTAGGAAGTGTCATGGTATTTTTACTCATCCTTGCCCCACTCCTCCCTAGCACAGTCTTGGTCCGGATCAGACAGCAGCCCAGCTCTCAACTGTTTAAATCGAACTGGAAGGAGTGTAGAGCTGACCTTATTTGCAACATTCCAACCTGTCTGGAGTTTGTCTAAAGGACTAGCCTCTATTTCACCTAATCCAGCTCTCGGGTGGAAAAGCAATGGTTACTGCCTGGGAAAGCTGCATGGAGATGACAGACACCTGGGGTAAGAGATTACAGGTGGAGACAAACAAATGCACCATTTAAGGCCCCAAGGAAAAGCCTCTTGGGGAAACTAAGATATTCAAAAGCAGCTGTATATAGAGGGGAAATGTCTCAGGCAAGACATGCTCAGAAAAGACCTGAAGAGACCGTAAGCTTTCATGTTGGGCAAATCCCAAGACTCAGAGCATGCCCAGATAATTAGTGAAAGACTTTCCTGGCACAGAGCCAAAGTGCAAAGACTGGGAGAGGTGGCTGTTTTTTCAAATGTCCAATTTTCAACAACAAAAAAAATCAGAAGCCCAAAGAAACAGAAAAACATAACCCATTCAAAAGAAGAAAATAAATTGGCAGAAACCATCCCTAAAGAGGTACCCTCAATGATTTATTAAAGACTTTAAAACAACTATCTTAAATATGCACTAGTGCTAAAAAGAAAACATGGATCAAATGCTAAAGGAAATCAGGAAAACGATATATGAACAAAATGAGAGTATCAATAAAGAGACAGAAATTATAAAGAAGAGCCGAATAACAATTCTGGAGCTGAAAAACACAAAAAGTGAATTGAAAAATTCACTAGAGGGGTTCAACAGCAGATCTGAGCAGGTAGAAGAAAGAATCAATAAAAATTTGAAGATAGGACATTTGAAATTATCAAGTCTGAAGAGGAGAAAGAAAAAGAAATAAAAGTGACAAGACCCTAAGTAATTTACAGGACAACCTCAGACAAATACATGCATTATCAGAGTGTAGGAAAGAGAAAAGAGAAAAAAAAAAAAGGAGCAGAGATTATTTGAAGAAATAATAGCCCACTGGGTATATACCCAGAGAAAACCATAATTCAAAAAGACACATGCACCCCAGTGTTCACTGCAGCACTATTTACAATAGCCAGGTCATGGAAGCAATCTAAATGCCCACTGACAGACGAATGAATAAAGAAGATGTGGTACATGTATACAATGGAATATTACTCTGCCATAAAAAGGAATGAAACTGGATCCTTTGCAGAGTCATGGATGTACCTAGAGACTGCCATACAGAGTGAAGTAAGTCAGAAAGAGAAAAACAAATATCACATGTTAACGCATATATGTGGAATCTAGAAAAATGGTAGATGAACCAGTTTGCAAGGCAGAAATAGACACACAGATGTAGAGAACAAACGTATGGATACTAAGGGGGGAAAGCGGGGGTGTGGATGGGGGATGAACTGCGAGATTGGTATTGACAATATATACACCAATATGTATAAAATAGATAACTAATAAGAACCTGCTTTATAAAAAAAATAAATTCAAAAAAAAAGAGGAAGAAATAATAGCCCGTAACTGCCATAACTTGAAGAAAAACACAAATCTACAAATCCAAGAAGGTAAACAACTCCAAGTAGGATAAACCCCAAAACAACCATATTGAAACACATTATAACCAAACTGTCAAAAGCCAAGACAAAGTGAGAATCTTGAAAGCAGCAAGAGGAAAGTGACTCATCACATACACACTAGAAGACAGTCTCAATAAGATGGTCAGCTGATTTCTCAGCAGAAACTTTGGAGGCCAGTAGGCACTGGGATAATTACATAAGGGGCTAAAAGAAAAAACCTGTCAACCCAGAATTCTATATCTGGCAGAACTGTCCTTCAAAAATGAGGAAGAAAATGAAGACATTCCCAGATAAATAAAAGCAGAGAAAATTTATTACCACTAGATCTAGCCTACAAGAAATGATAAAGGGAGTTTTTTCAGGTTGAAGTGAAAGGAAGCTAGGTGGCAACTTAAAGTCATAAAGATATAAAGATCTCCAGTAAAGGTAAATACATAAGCACATGTGAAAAAGAGTATTATTGCAATTTTGGCTTGAAATTCCACTTTTTATTTTCTACAGTATTTAAAAGACAAGTGCATAAAAATTACAAATCTGTGTTAATAGGCTCACAAACACATTATTTGTGACATCAAGAACAAAGTGGGGGACTTCCTTGCTGCCGCAGTAGTTAAGAATCCACCTGCCAATGCAGGGGGCATGGGTTTGAGCCCTGGTCCGGGAAGATCCCACATGCCGCGGAGCAACTAAGCCTGTGCACCACAACTACTGAGCCTGCACTCTAGAGCCCTTGAGCCACAACTACTGAACCTGTGTGCCACAACTACTGAAGCCCATGCACCTAGAGCCCATGCTCTGCAACGAGAA